AATGATACCTTCCTTTGGAGATTCTCTCCTGGAAAGCTTTAAAAGTAGAAAAAAGTTCTTATAAGCCTAGCTAGTTTCAGGAAGAGATGCCTCTTTGAAGTAACTAGATGAGTACGTGACAGCTTTCTTATTCTATTAAAACCAATGAGAATGTTTGCTTTTAAAAAAGCACTCATTTTATCTTAGCTTTAGTAGTAGACCATATTAATCTATTTTCATAAATAAATTCATCTTCCATTTATCAAACACGTAGTGAATGCCTTCTGTGTCCCGGCATTGTTCTAGGTGCTTGGAATGCCTAAGTAAAGAAGAGAGAGTCTTGCCCTTGTGGAGTTGATATTCATGCATTAAAAACTGCCTGATTACTACATGTTTACTACCTATCTGGTTTACGTGTGACTGTTTGAATAACTAGATACCTAGGTTGTTTCCAGTGGAGAGTTCAACACGTGTCATAACTAATTGTTTATTTCCAAGTCTGATAGCTGCAGTTAATATTATATGGAAGTAATGGTCATACGTAGTTACATTTTTATTGGAAATATTGAAAGCAATGATTATGTCTATAAATAGCCTTTTGTTTAGGTCCTCCGTGGTCATAGATGTATATTAGTATAGTATATATACTAGTATAGTATACATAGTATAGTATACATAGATGTATAGTAGCATTTGGTTTAATATTTATTAGTACCTCTTAAGTACTAAGGTGCTGTGTGCAATGTAATTACTATATTGTTACCAGGATAATCAGTAAATTAAAGCTGTTGATCATGTGGTGTTAGGAATGACCGAGTTCTTTTTAAATGTCAGTCTGAATAGGTAAATAGTACCTAGGTTTTTAAAAGAGAAGAAAAGATTTTTCCATTATCCCTGACCAAACAGATGGCTGAGGGTCAACTAGAAGCTGAGGGTCAACTGAGTTGGGTTGTATTATGGTAAATGTTCATCAGAGATGTTGACTGTTAACCTTAAGGGGTGTGTGTGCACGTATAGGAAGAGGTATTCCAAGTCTAAAATCTTATGTAAACCATTACATAAACTAATCTGAGTTAACATAATAGTTCATCAAGCTGTCCTTTGCATTCTGCCTGCGGTGTTGGAAACGTATTCTGGTAGGATGAGTGGATGTTGGGGACTGTGAGTAATTAGAGGCCTAGCATAATTAGAATTGGTGGTCTTGGAGGTAGAAGTGTGTGGATTTTGGAGAGGCTGGGAAAACGAAGTTAGACTTTTTGATGGATCAGTAATGAATTATGGGTTGAAGAGTAACGTCAGCAATGATTCATAGGTTTCTCACTTGGATGGATTACAATCCAAATGACAGCTACTGCAGTGGGATACCCTGGAAACAAACAGGTTTAGGGAGAAAGAATATGAGTTCAGATTTGGGTGGTGCATGGACACAGCTGACTTCATCTGAAAAGCTAACTCCGTTTTAAAACGAATCCACTGGAACCTTTGTCCCTCCATCCTCTCCCAGGTGGACTCAAGAATGTGCACAGAGGCTTTGAGTTAGTCACAAACTACTATCAATCCTTCCCACACCACTTAGCCCTTTCTCTGCGGCAAGGCACCCTAGTGTTTAACTCGCCCTGGTGCCTGAGCCCCTGTACCTAGTCCCATCATGCCCCCGCATCAGCCAGTCTGCCTTTTGGAACGTGTAGATCCACCTTTTAGAGGCGAATAAAACCGATGGGCTGGAGGGGTGAACCTGTGGGGGTTCATTGTGTCCTTACAAGTAAGGCCCCTGTCAGAATGCTAAACCGACAAGCTGGACTTCTCTGCATCATTCTTTGGCCTCTGGGCTCCTTGGGTATTTGGGTGTGTTGATTGTGAGGTGCCTTTGAGCCCGTGGAGCTCAGAATGCAGGGATGTAGGTGACCGTGCCCAGAGACAAGGGAGGGAAGGGACCTGGGTCACGGAGGGGAGGGGTGGAGAGAACTCGGGACTTGTAAGAGGTTTAGAAGAGAAACAGTCGGCAGTGCGATTTGAGAGGGGGAAAAGAGGGCGGGCTTTGTCACCGATGCCAAAAGGAACAAAGGATTGGGAAATGTCACTTGTGGTTAGTGGCATAGAGAGAGGTTATATGTCATTTCAGTGAGAACTGCTTTCTAGGAGAAAGAGAAGCCATGTTGAGCCAAGTCGAATGATCGAGAGGGGAAGAACTGGAGATGGTGACTGTAGGGTGACTCGAGAAATTCCATGTGCCGGGAAGCGGCAGTGTCATGGCTAGAGGGTGACGTGGGGTTGAATAAAGCTTACTTTTACCTGGGAGGTATTTATTGGAGTTTTAATAGCTGTGGATACACAGTGGCGATTTATTGAAATCTAGAAGCACATGGCATATCATATATTTAATTACTTTCAATTCCCCTTATATGATATTATACATTATGGACCTCAGAATTCAGAATATTTTGCATCTAATCTCAGAGGGAACGAGTTTAGCCCTTGCAAACTGGTTTTTAGTTGTCAGTTTACTACATTAAGAGTACAGACACTCAGTTGCCCTCAAAGTACATATATTTTTCCTTTTCAAAAGTATAATCAGAACTTAAATCATAAATTATGAAAAAGATCCTTTTATGACTGATCCTGGCTCTCTTGTGGCATAATAGTCTTTGGTAATCTTAAACCTAATTGGCTAATGAAGAAGAGGCAGCAGGAAGAAAGTTCCAGAGGTCAAATAGTTTACTCAAGTATAAGTCTTCTCAAGAATAATTAATACTCTCCCTTGACTTGACATATTTTGTGGACCTCATTTAGCTATGGCGTGTTTCCAAATTAACTAAAATTATATTTTAAGTCCATGAGAGAGATTTAAAAAATTGAAACGACTTTTTTTGTGTGTGTGAAAATTTAAGAGCATCGTAAATATTTCAAAAGGCGTAGGAATATAAAAGGAATTCTTTCCCTCTTAATTCTGTTATACAGATACTTTGGGGTCTCTTCTTCCACATTCTTTCCCCATGCATGTTAAAAGCCAGTTTTAAAAAGCAATCAGAGATGGAGCTTGTGAGGGGGTGTAAAAAAGTCGGGCGAGGGGGGAAGGAGAGAGAGACAGAGGAAAAAGAGAACATGAGTATTTAAAATAATACCATATATACAGTTTGGGAGAGGAGGGAGAGAAAGGAAGGGCGCGTATTTAAAATATTACTGTATATATTATTCTGAACCTGCTTTTCTCGCTTAGCAGCATAACTGTTTTTAATAGCGTGAGGGCCCCGCTAACTTGTATAATAAGCTCTACCTCTTCTTACTTCGTGTTGTGTCAGGCCTGTCAGTAGCGTTAGCCCAGGTTCTTTAGCTCAACAACATAAAAGTTTTCCTTGAAGAGAATGAAAGAAAGCAGCGTGGACGTAAATCTGATAGTTTATTAAAAATATGAATGGGGTGAGTTTGCTTGAACTTTTGAGTTACTGAAGTTCTTACAGTTTTCCCAAGGCAGCCGGGTTATGGCGGTTGGGGGAGGCACGGACCATATTTCCAGAGGCAGTGCATGCCAGCAGTGCTCTGTGCTGGGAGCAGAAGCGGGCGTATAAGCTGGAGAAGTAGGTGAAGTAGATGGGAGGCCAATGTTAGAAAAGAGACCTTTGGATTCTATAATGTTAAAGGCTAAAAACTTGAAACAAGAGCCTGGGATGTTCGACCAAACCAGTGCACGTCACCAGGGTTTGGCGTCCAGATGGTTATACCGGGGTCAGCTCTAAAACAGCAAAAGTGAGCATCGAATTCAGGTGGAGAGAGAGTCTGAGCAAAAAGCATAGAACATGGCTTCGGGTTCGAGCTAGGCACCAGGAAAAGTTGAGTACTGGAATTTATACTCACAAGACTGGGAACTCCAGTTTGGTGTCTTGTTCAGATGGGTACATTATCATGGTAGCAGACCTGCTATGCGATCACTGACTTTATGACAAGAAATATTTGCCTTTGTTCCAATTCCGAATATCCTTGGAAATGGGTAGGGCTAATAAGTATGTATGTTGCTCCCCGAGCAAAGTGTGTAGGTTTTGTAGGAAAGGGCTAGGTCCTTCCTTTAGGGAGCTTTTTGGGAACAGTCAAGGTGCGATAGGCCTGTGGTCCACGTTCAGCTTCGGCATCCCTTCCCTGCATCTCCTGCCATACACACGCCGTTAAGCACCTTAACTTCCATTCGTCTCAGGGGATTCAGATGGTTCTTTTTATGCCTTGAAATACTGCCTAGAAGTATTTAGTGAACACATTCATTATGAGTAAGTTCATAGGATGATTTAAAAAAGTAAATGAGAGGAAGGAAAAAGAAAAAAACCAACCTTTCCTTGATGGTGAAATAACATGGCTCACCCGTGAAGAAGACAGGATCAAGAAAAATAGTCAAAGACATCACAGGGCTTAGACTCTGTGATTTCATGCCCTCCCCTCATGCTTCTCTTGACCCAAGCTTACACTTTTATATAAACTCACTGATACGCTTCTCGTAACAACAGCAGTTCAGCAGTGGTGAAGGGAACCTGACTGTTTCGTTTTCTTGTTTTTTGTTTTTCCAGGCACAGTAACCT